GCGTGAATAAGGCGATATCGGATTTTAAAATCGCGATGTTGGATTTTAAGATTGCGTGAATAAGAATCGCGATGTTCGATTTTAAAATAGGGTGAATAAGAATCGCGATGTTGGATTTTAAGAGTGCGTGAATAAGAATCGCGATGTTCGATTTTAAAATAGGGTGAATAAGAATCGCGATGTTGGATTTTAAAATCGCTTGAATAAGAATCACGATATTGAATTTTAAAAGCACGAAAATACAAATGGCGATATTGAATTTTTAAATCGCGTAAATAAGATTCACGATGCATAATTTTTTAGAGTCCGTGAATACTTATCGCAACGAGTAATGAATGTTTAAACCGCGTATAAATTCGAATATTGATGTTTGATATTGCAATCGCGTGATAATGATAACGAATCGCAATATTGAAATTTAAAAATATATATGAATACGAATCGCGACATTGGATTTTAAACTAGCGGGAATATGAATCGCGATATTGGGTTTTAAAAACGTTTAAATACAAATCGCGATATTGAGTTTTAAAAACGCTTAAATACAAATCGCGATATTAAATTTTTAAATTGTGTGAATGGGATTTGATTTTCAACAAAAGAAAACAATTTTCAACAAAATATCATTTACTGCATAAAAAAGTTTTCCGCGCGGAAATTTATGAAAAAAGAGCGGAAGATATGGAAAAATCTGAAAAAAGCGGAAATCAGCGGATCCGCGGAAGAATCACATCCCTGTATTAATGGAAAGTAAACAATGAGTCTTAACTTACTAGTAAGAAAACTATTGATATAGACATGATTGAATATGGCAGTCGTTTTCTCCAAAATGGAACATATGGCTCATACATCTATAATGAACAATGATTAAATAGTTTTGATTTTTAAAATCTAGTGTAGACAAATCAGTGAGTTAACAATTGAAATTAATATGACAGGTGGTATTTAGATGTAAATTTAAGTGCAAAACAACTTACTCTTGTTATATAATTGATCTTCTTCTTCCTTTCATTAGCTAATCTAGCTAAATATTCTGGACGTGGATGCTCCTAAAAATTACAGTTAGCTTAAGTAAACATATGTACTTTACGATAGCAATCAATTTCAAACATATCTGATTAATTTAAATTTCTTCCAAGTTATACTTGGAGTTCACTTTTATTTTCCTGTAAAAAAAATTATTTTACTATATCTTCAATAAAAAAATAATTTGAGATACGCACAAATTTATTTGAAAGAATAAAACTACTTAAGCAACTTTTACATTGCAAGATATGTTTAAATTGAAATGGAAATTTTATAAAATTGCAAGCATGATATGAAACAAATATCAACCTATAAAACTTACTTCAGAAGTGTCAAAACCAGTTAAATCCCACCTATGAGTAATATCTGCAGAATATCTTTTCCACAATTCTAAAAATACAGCACCTAAAATTTAAAATACAGCAATTAAAAAGAAAATTAGAAGATTATTTTTTTAGAACAAAAATAATTATAAATTGTAATTTAAAATTTAATTTTTTGGTAAACATTTCATACCAAAATCATTTTTAATAATATTTACAATAAGAAATATATGGAAAAGAAAAAATGTAGATATGGTTTAGAGTGAAAATAGTAAAATGCAAACAATTTTCAAATCCTAATTTTTAGTCACGGAGCAGTTTTTTTTTTTTTTTTAAAAAAAAGGAGGTCTGATAGTCTTTTTTCCCCAAATGTATTGAAAATATCTTATTAGGAACAAGGCTGCAAAAGAGAGGTAAGAAAATCATACATTAGAAGTTTTTTAACTGTTTAATTTATTTTTCATTGCTTTTTTTCATAAATCAATATTCTTTACCTCTAATTTTTCACCATTTCCATTCAGTTTAAAAATTGAGTTTTTTTAAACAATTCCACAAGAAGATATTAAAATTAGTATTCAAGATATCATTATGAACCAATGATAATCATAAAGTGAGAGGTAGAAAAGCAATCACTTTAAAGTTTAAAAAGAAATTAATAGAAAATTGTACATACTTTCAGTGTTTCATATTTTAATATTTTTGTGTTTTTAAAATTACTTTCCACAGAAAATAAATTACAGAAAAAAAGAGTCTTTATAACCTTACAAAAAATGTGACTCATTACATTATTGTACTGTGTTAATAGATGAAGCTTGAAATTGAAGAGGGAAAATTAGTTAATTGCTGTTGTTTAAAGCCATATCTTTATTTTAGGTTAGGTAATTATTATTTATTACAAAAAAATAGTTTTGTGAAAAAAAGCTTCAATTAATTTTCTGATTATTATAATAATAATGATATTTTTTTTCTCAAAAGAGGACGAAATATTAACCAACATTCTAATAAATAATATAAATAAAGCACTTCAATGTATGAAAAAAAAAAGAATTTTTAACCAAAAATACTCATATTAATAAGTTACATAAATTTAAAACAAGTGGAATGTTCTTTCATTTTCTTCCTAAATTTTGATAATTTATATTATTTTTGATAAGCTCAAAAAGCACAATATAAACAAAACTAGGTGGTCCCTGTTTATATTAGGCAATGTTAATAAATTTTTAGTTAAGGCAAAACAGAGTAAACTATGCTTTTATATCATATGAGGTAACTAAATCCTTGGTATGAGATCTCTTCCATTAGCATAAATGGTTTAAATCATAAAAATCTATTTGTAAAAAACCAGTTCGTAAAAAAAAGTTTTTTTTTTCTTCTTCAAAATTAAGTCCTATGTTCTAAAGGCTAATTAGTTAGCTTAAATAGTGAAGAAATTAACAGCTTCTTCAAACACATACATACCCCATAGCGACATAAAAACTGCAAACAGCGCAGTAGCTCCATTATCCACAAGGTATGTAATTTTTCCAGCATTACACGATTCTTTTAAAAGCCAATAATGACACTCTTTATCACATAGAGGACACATAACTAATTGACTATCACATATTTCATTGCTGAAACATACGTTTTAACATTAATGTTATACAAAATTATTATTCATACGCATTTATATATATATCAAGGATGTAGGTGAGGAAGGTAGGTAGGGGTTCAAACACCCACATTGTAAATGGCAGTTTTTAATATTTTCTCAAACTACTTAATTTTTTAATAAAACTTTTCAAAATTTCCCCCCTTCTTTTGAAGATTTCATTATGTAAAAAATAATACCTTAAAAATCATTTACCACATCAATACAGGCCTCTTTCATTTTATTGAAGCAATACTCTGGACATACAAAACCAAAGTATCCCTCCCTGTCATTCACTAACTAGGTTAATTGATCTTTTCTACAATAAAAAAAATAATAACAGTTTCAATTGACCCTGCTTTATCTATTCTTATCCTGAAAGCAAAGGGGGATAATTTTTAAGAGACAATGTGGGGTATCTATAGGATGTTAAAGATGATAACTTGTTTGTTTGAATTTGGTTATAAATGCTTTCTCAGGATTGAAATAAGATGTAACCAGTGGATAGAGGGTGTGCCAAGAGAAATCTTAATTTATTGCACTTTAAAAAGGGCTCTAAAGGCAGGAAGCTTCTACTATGATGCACTTAAATTTAGTTCAAACTTTCTGGTGGTCTACCATTTAGTATATAAATTAGGTACATTTTTATTTTAATTTATAGGAATATTTTTTTTCATAGCATTTTGTTTAATTTTTATTAAAAACTCTCTATCTACATTAGAATTATGACACTTTATTGTAAAAATGATTTATTTATTCATGTGGAGGTAAGTTTATATCTAATTCAATTACATATGAAATATCTAAAGGCAAAAATTGGATTCAATTTCAAATGCTAATTTATTTTCTAAATTAGTTCACTCATTTTTATAATCATTGCATTATTATATTTATTACAAAATAACTAGTATTAAAAATAAAAAGATACTAAATTTTACAAAAGTAGTATCTCTAAACACATAACAGTTTAAGAAAATAAAACAAATTTGTTTTTGATCAGCAAAGTAATAAATATACAATAATTAAACAAAGTCGCAAGATGACAACTGAAAATCTGCTCTCATTTGAATACTTTTATATAATGTATATATATGAAATTAAAACACTTGAGTTGTTTAAAAAAGTAAAAAGGAAGTTATTAAATAAAATTATAAGTTATTTTAAAGTTAGTTTTATTGTCCTTGAAATTGGGTAGCAAAGAAATGTTACATTAGAAAAAGTTTAAAAATAAAGTGTTTTATGTTATTGATGCAGCCCTACATTTTTAGCTTTTAAATTTGAACTTTAACATTAGCAATTGCTTAAAAGCAATTGTTAAACACCCAATATGCATATGATCAAATAGATTAACAATAAAATTATTTACATGATAATAAGTATGCAATTATTACTTAATATGACAAAGAATAAAAGTGCAGATAGAATTCAGACCTTTTTATGAAACTAGTATTTATGAGCATACTTAATGATTTAAGCAATTAAAACACTAATTTATTTATAACAATATTCATAGCAACAGACTATTACAAAAAATAAATAAATAAATAAAATAAAAAATTTAAACACAATAATAATTTATTTAAATTTTAATATAGATCAACCTCAGTACAACATTGTTTAACATGATTTTATGTTTTTAAATTTTATAATTGTTTTTTCAAAGCTTCAGTCATTTTTAATTATTATTTATTTTAGATTGGTTTCCAGTAACCTACTAGAGAAATATAGTATTCAACCTGATTGATATAATTATATAACTCATTAATGATAATTTAATGCAATAATTTTAAGAAATATATTAAATATTAAATTATGCTGAATTTGCTTTCTCAAAATGAATGCAAACCATCATGAAAAACTAATGTTTTGGATAATTTAAAATATTGGAATTTTTTTTTTTTTTTTTGGACAAAGTTCAAAACGTGTATCACTATCAAATATTTAGAAATCAAATAAATCCATGAAAAATATTACAACTATTTTATAATAGAAGTCATTTATTTTACTGATTACAAAAAAGCATTAAAATAATGCATTAAAATAATGTAAATAAGCATTAAAATGCACTAAATAAGCATTAAAATAATGTAGCATTTTCAAATCAGGTAAATTTTAAAAACATAATTAACAATTAGTTAGGAGCAATGCTTAAATCATGCAAATGATTTCAACATTAATAAGGAGAAAAAAGCATTATCTTTTCTATGGATACAGCAGCAAAGAAAAAAAAGCAGTTCGTATATAAATAGAATATTGTTAAATAAACTTAAGTTGTATGTCTGATTTAGAAGAATACTAGTTAGCTAAACATACCTTGGTACATTACTGTTTAATGTGAGACAGCCATAAATAAAGCAAATCAATCCTACAATAGATGCTGGTATGAGCATATATGTGTAGAAACCAAGCCAAGCAAAGTAAAGTCCAATTTTTACTCCAAAATAATGCCTGGAAAGAATATTTTACATATACTTTTAAATAAGCAATAAAGTGAAGTACAAGTTAATATATTATGATATTTATAGTATTTTGTAAGCATAGTTAAATAGGCTAATGAAAAATAGAACATTAAAAACTTGAATTTTCCCGAATATATTTAATGACATCTACCTAAAATATTTTTCATTAGGTATTTATAAATAAATTTGGTGATTAATACTTAAAAAGAAAAAATTACTTTTTTTAAAAAGAAAAGCTAAATAAACATGGCTTTTAATGCAGTACCTATAGCACTTTAACTGAAGGGCTTACTTTACACAGTATATCTAAATTGATAAATAAATAGATTGAACTATTAATCATTCACTTTGAACTAAGAGGAAAAAAAGAACCTAAATTTCTGAAAGAGTTAATCAATGCAAATTAGATAGTTAAATACAATTGTTATTTTATTTATTTTATGACAGTTGATGATCTAAATCAGTGTTTCCCAACGTGGGGCCCACGCCCCACTGGGGGGCAATTTGATTGTTAAGGGGGGCAATTCGAAAATGGACTCGACAAGAGTTTTACCCATTTCCTCCGGGCCATTTAAATACAATGCTAGATTTCGGTGCCAAAATTGAGAGAAAAAAGCAAATTCTTAAATAAATGCGGCCAATAAATATTATATTATTTGATGAGACCAAAATATCAACTGGGTTTTTGGCGTCGTCAAGTTAACTAACCTCCCTGCCGCATATGGCAGGCTCCGCGTAGACCCCTTGACGCTTTAAAATTTCGCTAAACAATGCAGTTGTTCGCATCTGAATGGCCCGTCGCAACTTCTGTAGTGTTTCGCAACATTCAGTGATGGAAATCAATACCATAGTATGTCTTTTATGCCTGCAATGCAACAGTAAAGTCTTTATTTACTGCTCACACTTCAACTCATAATTGTTTTCTTGAGGCTAGTTCTGAAACTTCTTTATTCATCGCTAAATTTGGACGAAATCCTACTATAGGAGAGAATTAAATAAAACCGTCAATATCCGCATTTCTGAAAACTGTTTTTGAAAAAGATGTAAAAGCTATGTCACTCAATAACAATACTGTTAGCAGAAGAATGGACGAGATGAGTGAAGATATTGAAAAATAACTTGTTGACAAGCTAAAAACAAGAAAATTCTCAGTGCAAATGGATGAATCAACTTTGATAGACAGTGTGGCAGTTTTGATAACTTACGTAAAATATATTGATAAAGGGCATTTTGCAGAAGAAATGCTGTTCTGTAAAAGATTAGAAAGCACCACTACCTCCAAAGATATTATATAATAAGCTAAAAAAAAACTACTTAGATGTCAATAATATACCAATGAAAAATATAACATCTTGTGCTGCAGATGGTGTTCCTAATATGGCAAGAAAAGTTACAACTTAAAATTGATGAAAAATGAGATGAGAATCCAGAAATGATTCTTTTGCATTGTGTTATTGCATAGGGAAAAGTTGTGCATAGGGAAAACTTGGTAGCTAAAAACATCTCGTCTGTTCTAAATGAAGTACTTAATTCAGTAATAAAGTGTATCGATGCTATTAAAGCTAATGTCAAATGTGAGCGCCTCTTCAAGCTGTTTT